CTACAACTTTAGTTCTACGTATTATTTAAAGTAAATATTGTGCCTTAAGGGCTTTCCCTAAACCCATGCTAGGTTTTATAAAAGGAATTATATAGGTGTCATAGTACCTAATGACTGTACAATGTTAAAAGTATCAACATCTTTGTGTAAGAGCTCTAGAACACATACCTTAACAGGATCATGTATTTTAACCTGATTTACCACAATGAAAGTTTATAATGAGAAGTCTTAATATTTCCTGAAAATTGACTATAAAAATTAAGGTTATATCCTAATCTATGAAGTTCATGCACCACTAGATGTTAAAAAGACCTGTATTTCTCTGTAGGTAAAATCCCATCTCAAATAAGGTATTTGGTATAACTTGGGTTTGATTAGTACCTCTAATGAAATAGCTTAAATTGAATACGCTGATATGCATGAATGTGCAATACTTAACTTACGCTTTTTTCTTACCTTCATGAATGTGTATTTTTTACTAAGGATATTCATCTCTCTTTTTCTCTCTCTGCATTCTTTTAAATAAAATTTAAACCTAGGATGTCAATCAACTAAAACTAACAGTTAGTTTCAAGGAAAACTCCAAAAAGGAAAGTACACTGTGACTCATCTAATTTTTAATATATTCATCCTGCCATGTTTCAGAGTTGCTGCTTTACAAAGTTCATGCAGTTTATGGCGTTCAACAAAAATGGACTGAGATTTCTTTGTCTCATCGAAGATTTGAGACTCCAGACTGCATCTATTTTTATTCTAAGTATCATTCTGGTATAGCAATAGAGTCTGTGTCTGTATTTCCATAACAGCTGAATGGGCTCTTCATAAATCCTTTCGAAAGGCAGGTATGACTCTCACTGTTAAATACTATTGTTAAATGGAATGGATTGTGGGGATTTGATATACTCTGATGACAAGCTTTCTTTAAAACTTATTTTCCTCCAGCAAAATTGGTAAATGCTAGACTCTCAGTTGCAACACCTCCTGTAAACATCCTGTAAACATAAGGGGTAGAAAATTGCTTCGCGTGTGGGACAGATTATTGCTAATTCCTTTCTGATAACTGTCTGCACCTGGCTGGCAAGTGTGTTGTGAAGTTCATTTGGAAAAGGCACTGGTATGTTTCATCAGTTTAGTCTTCTCTTTTGGAATAACATTCTTTTACATTCATTTGTAAGGGAGTAGGATTGGATGAACTCTGCAATTTTTAAGGTGCTCAGAAATTGAATGATAGATGCAAGGTACTTAAGCAGCAGCCTTTTCTGCCAGCTCCCTAGACAGGAAGCATTCTGCATGGGTCAGGGGAAGAAAAAACATGGAAAGGTGCCAAATCTGTGCATCTGGCAAGAGTAACTGCCAGCTGATGTGTTGTGGTACCTTCCAAGGTCAATGAAAGATGGATCATCGGTGATAAATATATTTAGAAACAGAAGATCAGCATTATTTATAAGTTGATTGGTACTAGAATACATATAAACAAAAAGATAATACATTTACTACACTGTTGTGCCTGACACTTCTTTTGGTAGCTATGTTTTATAAAGGTATAGTTTTGTGTGCATTTGTGTAATTTTGCTATGAAGGACAACTTTTATATGCAATATATCAAATCAGATATATGCCTATATCACAATGTCCTGCAACCAAATCATAAGGGTAGCAAAGATGTATTCATTTCCAAAACGGAGCGAGCTTGGAACCAGAAGTTTAATAACTCTAGATTATTTACATGAAATAATTGGCATATAACTTGAGGTGCAATTCTTTGCAGTAGATGTAACATTGATTTTTAGCAAAACCTCTCCTACGCAATCTGACATGCCAGTCTGATGATCAAATGGGGAAAATTTCATCTAAATGAAAATCCTCTAAGATGAGACGTGAACGTTTCCTTTTCCCTGTCTGTGTAGGCAACTAGATGACCTCTATGTGTTATATTCACATATATACACATATATAATACATACTATATACGTATATATGTATATATTATGAGATTTAGTCTCATATTCTTATGTCCCGACTTTCCTGTCTGATCACGCTGTACTTTTAAGGACTTTCAAAACCTGTTTATTGAAGAAAAGCTGCTCCAAATAGCCATGATTTTTAAGCAACTTGCATTGATAGAACTTTGCTGTTTCATGTATGTAACTGAAGTACTTATTTGCATCTTTTTACGTCCTAATTAAAATGTTTACATTGGAACTGGAATTCTTCCAGTCAATTGAGTAGTATTTGAAAATTTAATAATAGATTCTTAAAAATAAGCAAATGATAAATGTATTTGGCAGGTTGACTTTATTGATTCATGTATCTGTTTACTTATTATTGCCTCAGGAACATTTATTCTTACTTTTGTTACTTGCTCCAGTACTGTGTCAGACAAGATTTAATTCCCGCATTACTTGTACATTAGTTAGCTTTTTGTTGCCTTTCTTTCTCAGATGCAACTTCACAGCAAACTGCAAGCACTACAGGTTAGAATTATTGTTGTTACGGGTAGACTATAGAAATAGGACCAAATTCAGACTTGATAGAGACAGAATTTATTTTGGGAGTATCTTTGGGCTCGGGTATGCTTTATACCAGGGCTGAATTGCTATGCTTCCTTTTTTCCTTATTCCTTTTTTTTTCTTCAAATTTTCCCTGTGCCTAGCGTCTGTGGTCAAGAACATCAGTGCTGCGCAACTGCGTAGAGACTCCATAGTTGCATTGGAATTTTTCAAGTACGAGAAAGATGGATAGGAATTTTAAAAGCATTTAAATGAACGTGGACCGTGGATCCTTGCAGGACAGAGGAAATGGATAGCTTGTGACTGGGAGTAGAAATAACATCAAATCCTTTAACGTTTAGATCCCTGGCTGTTATCCACCCATACCTGTAATAAGTGAAAATTGTTAGGCCAGGGAAGAGTTCTTATGTAAAGGAATTTCCTACAGAGCAGACAGTAATACCATGGAACTGAATCAGTGTGATAGATAGTCTCCTTTGTAGCCTCAGTACAAACCCAGATTTAAATGGTAATCAGGGATTCTTTTTGTGCCTTGTGATTCCTCGAGCAGAAATCTAGGTATACAACATGACAGTGTCTATCAATGAATGCAAAATACTATTCCTTACTGTATTTATACATATATAGATATGCATTTGACACTGGTTAGAGGATTCAAAAGCTGATGGAATAAAGTTAATGGCTCTGTTTTTGTGGTGGTGTTGCTATATTGTAAATAGAAATTCAGGTATAAGTGGAACAAAATTTGTTAAACTAAAAAACTTTCAGGACTGATTTGTTGAGTATTAAATTCATATACTGCTAATTCCCATTTTTAGTCAGAACTTTGTGTGTTGCCCAGGGGAAGTCATACAGGTGTATGGTCATCTTTGTATATTCTTCTTTTTCTACCTTTTAAATTTACCCTAAACTACTTTTTCTTCATATTCTTTATATACTACAGATGTAGGAACTGTTTGCCATCTTGTCTACCTTTTTTACCTCTTTGTGTGAATGTTGGTTTACTTTGTAATTATGATATGTACTTTGTGAGTATCTATGGAATAGATGTCCCTTTCTTACACGCACCTCCTGTCCTCCCTGGCTTTTCTCTTAATTTCTCTCCTTCTCCTGGTATTGATAACGTTTCATTTTCTTTCCTGTATACAAATGAATGATTCATCTGCATCTTTTTTCCACAGTTGAGCAAAAAAAGCTGTGTGGAAGCACAATAGTGTGTCCCTGTTACATTTGTGTTTGCTGCTATGTAGTGTAGTTGTTCTTCTTCACTGAAGCAACTGGGCTGAAGTGGTTTCTGGAGACACTGGCAATGGAAGGGCAGTGGGGAAGCTCGCAGGCTGGTATATGTCTTCCGTGAGTCCAAAAGTGATAAACTGAAAAACAAATTGAACTCACTAGAGTTCATCTTCTAGCTTTTCAGAAAGATTCAACACACATTTGTCAGTGAATGCAAAGTAGTTTTGCAAACAAGCTTGAATTGAGGCTTTGTTTAAGTGACAGGCAGAAAGTTGGCACGTTCACATATGTGAGGAAGGGGCATCTCTGGGGCGGGAATGAACTAGGAAATGGTATTTGCACTTTCTTCTTTGTCTGCCACTTAGACATGGCCATCTTCAGAGTCTGCTCTGGGGTAGAGCTAAACCTGATGAGAGCAAGCTGGCACCATGATCTGTTGTGGCAACGTTGTTCTAGACACTCTTCTTTTTTGAGCAGGGAATACTTACCTTCCGGACAGAGTGGCAGGAGCAGGTTGAGGGATTTTTATTTACCTTCCGGACAGAGTGGCAGGAGCAGGTTGAGGGATTTTTATTTTGCCATTGCAGCTCAAAGACCTGTTTAACTAAGTAAGAATATTCTCTTCTGATTTTGTTGGTAACTCTGTTTACTGGGTAAAGCAGAGGTAGATTGACGGGAAAGATCCCTAAGGAAGCAAGGAGAAAAGTCAGGTAGGGATTCTGACCTCTGCTTGGAAGGGAAAAGCACATCTTACTAGTTCCTTTAATGTGTCTGGAAAAAAAGCTGGTGGTGTCCCAGTAGAAAGTTGGGGCCAGAGGGGGAAATGGGCAAATTACTTTCAGTCCTCCTGAAAATAGGTAGGAGTGATTAAGGAAGGAACAGTAGTCTCAAGGCCTTATTGACTAGAAAGTGCTCCAGATGAGTTAATAGCATTGCAAATAGGTGAAATCTCCTGCCTCTGGACTTTCTTCCTTATATTCACGTCTTCTAGGCTCTTAATATGGGGTTCTGGCTTATAAAGACGTAAGTCCTAAGTTGGAAAAAAGCTTAACTAAGGAATTCTCAGGAAAAATAAACATGCTAGTTGTCTTCTGCTTTGTTTTGACTACTTTGGGATTTTTTTGGTCATCTTTTTTAAGTTTTTAGTTTTTTGAGGAGGAGCGTGATCTTGTTTCATTTAATTTTGTTTTCCTGTTACAAAATGCTCTGTTCTTACATTTAGCTCCTAATTTTTACTATTTTTTCCCTTGTCAGATACAGAAGAAACTACCAGACCTACAGGTAAGAATGGATTTATAAAAATAAAATCAGTAGTGTTAGTCACATGCACTGAAGGTAGGTGAAATGCTAGCCTGTGCACTACAGCCATGTTTGCACAAACTAGAACTTTTTTTTTTTGAGTTCTAGTGTAAAAGACTTGAAGTTCAATGCAAACAATTTATTTTCACAAAAACAAAACTTCTGTCAACACAAAATGTTATTTTGTTGGCATAGCAGCCCATCTGAAATGGTTGTGTTTAAAAAGAAGTGTGTGTATGTATATACACATATATAAATAAAAATAAAACTTTTGCTCCTAACCTAAAAAATCTTATTCCTGTTTAGTCAGAACTGCTCCTGTGTTGCCTAAGGGAAAACAGGTGACAGGTCTATGGGAATTTTGTGTCATTTTTTCCATTATTCTTGTACTTTAGAAACTGTATAGGAAGATTGCTACTCTGTTACTTCTTAATTGTTTACAATACATAATTATTTTCAGAATAATCACCCATATCATCCTTACGGTTTATTAGCATATTTTATGATGCAAATAGCATCAGTCATTTTCAAGAAAATCAATATATGGCCACTGAGATGACTCTTGATTCTCCTTTCATTGCAGAAATTATGCATAAGTTTATCCTTTGGAAAGAGGCTATTATTAGTGTTCAGTAAGGCAAGCAAGGAATAAGGAATCATGCAAGGGATTAGCACTTCAGAAACTTCTTGTTTCCTCTGTTTAACAAAAAAAACCCCGCTCTTCTGCTGAAGCCTTCAGTATCTCTGACTTAGCTCTTCTGGAACAGGAAAGGTTTTACATCATAGTGTACTTTAAGTGACGTTATGGGGTAACTTTTGAGATTTAGGAGAGATATTGAAATACCTTGATTTTTTTTTTTAAACTAGTGTTTCATATTTGCCACAAGTTGTTCTTGATACTATATTTCTGTGATAACTGTGATTTCACTTCTCTATGGCACTGTCATAAACCATTCAGTAAATGAAAGGGCTTACTTTAAAATTGCTATGTGAACCAGAGAGCAAATTTGCTAATTTCTTTTTGATCGAAATGCTTACTGTAACAAGATCAAAGATGTACTGGCTAGTGTGTGCTATACAAATGGTTGGCTGGCTCCTATCAAGAGCAGAGATTCAAACTTGAAATGAATTAGCTTTTTGTGATGTTACTTTTTGCTGGAGAGAGAGAGGAGAGTGGGCATGTATGAAATCATTTTAAATGGCAAGTCCTAGTTTTCTAATACAAGGTCTGAGAAGGGTTCTTCATACCCAGCTACAAGCATCTCGTCATAAATGTTTAATTCCCATTCCCACCATTAGCAAGAAACTCAGGGTAGGCATATGGAGTTCAGGCTAGTGTGACAAGTATCTTGGGACTATGAATTTTGTTTCTTTAACGTTATACAGTGCAAATTGTCCCATATTTGTTGAAAAGATAAAATTTTGGCTGAATTCTATTTAAATCCATAACAATTTTAATGTTATTCCAGCAGAGATTAATGTCTACTTTTTTTTCAACCTGGAAATATTTTTTTGATGAGCAGGTGTTGCCCTCTTCTGGTGAATGCATCCACTGAACTTCTGACAGTATAAGGAAAGGCTGATGAGGATGGTTATATCTGTTCTGTAACTGAAACTTCATGTGCTAATCTAATTTTTTTTTCTCTTTCTGAAACAAATGCTGTAAATTCAGGAGCATTAGCTGCAACAACCATTACTGGTAAGAAAATCAGGGCTTTACTGGTTACTGCAATGCCCATTATTTCCTGTTAGATAAATCTCATTCTGCTTTTATCTGAAGTAATTAGGAGAAGTTGTAATGTAAAGGTATTCCAACATTTAATGGGTTTTCATGGTTTTTTTTAATGAAAATTAAATCTTCACGCTATTTTTAATGGACTAGCATAGCTTATGGGATCACTCCCGGTTTGCGGTAGTGACAGTTGGGGATGAAATAAGTGCGAGCTGCTTGATCAAGAGCCTTTTGTAACCCTAATAGCGGGTAGTTTGCAGAGATGGCAGAGGGAGAACACTGCAGGGAGAGAGCTGCCTTCCACCTGTCCAATACACACACCTCCGTCATTTGATGCAGTGTGGTACACTTCAGAGACACAAAAAAAAAGAAGACTAATAACTTGTGGGACCAGAGGTACCATCTTTCTCTGAGGGTGTATTGGGGCCAATTCAATGTTTGTAGTTGTTTCTACCAAACAAAATGATACAGATGGAGCCAGCATTTAGTTTTTGCTTTGATTCCTCATATTTTGGCTGCTGGTTAATTGCCTTCGAAAATCAGTTATCTTCAGGATTGTTACTGAAGAAACAAATATGCTTAGCTCTTACTGTACATATGAAATTAAGAGGGCACTTTTGAAAAGGTTTAAAATGGCTAGTGTAATGACAATAAACATATCTGAAAGAAAAGCTCCCTTACCTGCTCTGTATCATGAAGTACATTGCTTTTTCTTGGTATACTACTCTCTCTTTGCCAAGTAACCAACTATTTTCTACTATATTTAATATAAAGTTAAATATAATAATATATAATAACAAAATAATAGTATAATAATTTAATATAGTTTGATTATATTTAATATAGTATGTTGGTACAACTGATGACACTGATGTTTTTAGTAAAGCAGTTTGGAAAGCGTAATATTATTCTGTTATGAAACTGCTGTACCCCCTTTAAAAAAAAAGTCACTGAGGTGTCATACTGGAGTGACATTGTTCTCTCACGGCTTTATATTCCTGTGCTGTCACTTAAAATATGCTAACTAAGTGCATCCTTCCTGAGCAATCTTTAAATTTTCTTCTTCTATCTTAATGTAATTTTTTTTTCTTGTGTGGCTAAAAAAATATTTACATCCTCATTCTACTTTATTTATATATAGTTTCTGGCAAAAATAAGAATTTGGAAGCACGTTTTGCCAAGCTCAGTGTGTCATCTTTGGTCAGGATTATTGTGGACAAATGCAAAAAAAGGGCCGTGGGGTGAGCACAGTTACCACCATTGCATGTGCCAGTCACCTCTTGTGTCTTCCAAGAGAATGAAACCAATAAAAGGAACTTAGCTGAAAAAGCTCCGTTGCCAGCTGTTTGTATTCAGATACTTATTCAGATTTTTGAAACAATGTTCACAGTTCTTACTGAGCAGAGAAGCGCTCATAAAAGGGAACTCAGAGCATTAAGATTCTGTTCCTTTTGGAAGTTTTGCATACTTGATCATCTTTCTCAAAAATGCTTAGAAATAAAGAATTACATTACTGCCATTGTTACTTCTTTTCTCTCTCTCTCTCTCTTTTTTTTTTTTTTTTTTTTTTTACAGAATCCTCTATTGTTACTTTTATCACCTATCCTATTAGTCCTTCAGGCAAGATTTTATTAACATTTCTCTTATTTAGATGTAGTTACTTTTAGATTTTTTTATATTTTTATTTGTTATTTTTGTTTTTACTGTTATTCATTTTCTCCTTCAGATACGTCTTCAGAAGAAACTGCACAAACTGCAGGTGAGAATTCGCATAATGTGAATGAGATCTGGAGGAAGGTGTGTGTTGCATTCAGGAAGGTTTGCTTTTTTAAACTGGGGTTCATTTAGCCCAAATTCTTTTCTTACAGTATCTTAAAAAGCATATGATCTATGTTTTAAGTTGTCACTGGTAGAGCTTTGAAGTACATTAAACTAACACTGAGCCATTAACCTTTCTTTTTTAGTCAAAATATTAAATTCCTTGTCAGAGCCCAGACTGGACATGTTTATTTTTATCAAGTTTTTTATTAGGGGAGGGGGTATACCTATAGATAGAATGCTTTCTAAACTTTCTGGTACTATTTAAAGTATTTTGCAGAACTAAAATGTACACACCGTTGCTTAAAGACACTTACATGATAAATGTGCTTTTGATATGCTGGCCAGATAGGGTCAGTACAGACCCAGTCAGGAGAACTGCTACACCATTTTTCCTGATGTTTGCATTTGGAGTATATTCATCCCACATCACTACAGATGCTGCCTGTATGTCTGCATCTGAGCTAGACATCCTGCTATCCTTCACAGCTGAGAGAAAGAGGCATTTTTAGCATGGGCTTCACCGTATCTTAAAGTACTCCTGTAGAATAGGTCAAATGAATCACACCTTAAAACCACCTCTTTCTCCACTGAATAATAGGGAGCCTAGAGTAACTGGCTCAGATAGAGATGTAAAGATTTGATTAGATGAACCTACCCAAAATGCTGCTTCTTCCTTTCGTGTGCAGAAAGTAACTTGATCACCTTATAAAAAAAATGATTGTGTGTTTACACTTCTCCTAGAAAGAAAGAGTCTAAACTGCGAATAAGGCAACTTCTTTTTATGACTTGCATTTCACAGACTTTTTAAATTAAAATGTGAATACTTAATTTCAGAACTTTTTTTTTAACAGACACTCTTAACATCACTGATTATTATTCCACCATAACACCAGGTAGGATTTATATATCACTACTGATATTCTTTGGTACTTCTCAAAACTTAAGTGTGTATGTGAGTTCAGGAGGTCTGCACTCAAGTATTTTTCTTGGTATAATTGTTTGTCATATTAGCAATCTTCCTTACTTTGCATTGATTTGCAGTCTGGTAGAAAGTCTAGTTCTGCAATGCTTACCTATATGTCACCTACAGAAGGGTGGTTGGAGTGTTTTGTGAGTCAGAGCAGCAGATTGTCAGGGGACACACAGATCTAAGAAATGCAGTCCCAGGAACCATATTTACTTAAAAATTCTCATGCTTTTCAATGATTGAAGAAGACTGAATCCAGATCTAATGTTCTCTGGCCAGATCCAGTCTCTAGGACTAGACTGAGTTTAATATTTTATTACCCATGTAGGAGCCTAGTATAGTGACAAGAATATATTTACACACTATTAGCATAAGTGATGGATGGCTTGGAGCCATACTGGCTATTATAATTTGACTGTGAGACTGTGACCTGCAAGAAGATTGTGGCTATGTTACCTGATGATCTTTGGAGATTGGAGTGGTTAATGACTTTTGGTCAGGCTTTGATCCTCCACACTGCTTATTTATTATGTGCATTATGGCATGCAGAGGTCCCAGGCAGGACTAGGTGGCACGCATACAGGTTCTCTGTAAATACAAGGTTGATCATCTTCCTTATTTTTGTGACGTTCCTGTTTTGTATGTTGCATTTTTATAAATGTTGTTGTTCTTCATCTAGCTAATAATTTAAAAAATTCAGTTATTGAAGAACCTTTTAATTCTTCAATCTCATTTGGTACTAGCTAATGATCACAGCTGAGAGGACAGGACTTGTTTTTCTGTTAGGAGGACAATCTGAATTATCATACCAAAATATGTGCTTATTTTGCACTGTTTTGCTGATCCTCATTAGTAACTGAGGAATTTGCTTAAGTGTTATAAGGAAGTGTTTGCTGCCACATCTGATTTTATGATAAAGTGCAGGAATTTTATCTCAGATGCAAATATCTTTCTCCTTTACTTTGATTTTATACAACTGAGCTGTCTGATTGCAGTACCCTGAATCTGAGATCAGTATTTTCCTTTGCAGTGTAGGTAGGGTTAAAAATATGGCAGTAGCAAAAGGATTGCTGTAACTAAAGCATGGTATGCTCGATAAGAGAGTGTGTTTCCAGTCACCATGGTTTCACTTCTATCAGGCAGAGTAGTTTTTAGTTTTCATACTCTCATGAGTAGCTGTAGTGGGATCCTGAGAAACAGATAATAGATCACATAATGAAATATCACATACTGTGGTATTTAAAGAGCCTGCTCGTGATATGCTGATTTCTGTGTAATCTTGATTATGTAGGAAGAGTTTATTGACTCAGTTACTTTGACAATGTCAACTGCTTTTTGGTAATCTAGACAAAGAGCCCTTTTCATCAGGTCTTTGTCGTGTCTGGACATTTGCAATGAGAGTCCTGGAGTTGACTGTCTTACTTCTATTCGTTCTAGTTAGTTGCTGGTACAGACTTTGGAAAATAGCCACACAATGCACAGTTATTGGAAAGGCAGTATGCACCCCTGCTAGAATATAGTCCTATCTATAAATTAACAACTTAAATTTAAGTCTGTTAAATACGGTCTTAGATACGACTGTATTATAATATATTTAATTGCTACTTTGGTGTCCACCAAATTGTGAGATTTTTTTTTAAATGCAGAGACTACTTGCACGTAGGTCTTCTTTCGAAACTATTGCAGAAAGTTAAAAAAAACAGTGTGTGCCAGTCTGAATGCTAGCTCTTAGATAATGTCATGGCAAGTACCCTAGATAAATGAAGCCTAGATAGTATGTGAAGTATTTCTAAAAGGAAAAGACCTTTAAATTTAAAACCTGGAAACAGTTCGACCCTAGGTTTCTGAGGAGCAGAGTCTCACGTGCATCCCGCAGCGAAATTAGGTTTAAATGACGGTACAGCAAAGTAACAACTCGAGCTGGGGGCCTCCGGGGAGGGACCCAAACAAAGAAATTCTGGGGTAGTTATACTCCTTACAGTCTTGTTTCCCTGCCTGCCAGTGACAGTCTCTTCCAGTCTTCTTTCCTGAGTCGGTGGTCTCTTTCCTTTTGATTGGTTCATGTCTGCATCCCAGGACTATGTTCCTGTTCCACAGTGCCTTATCTTATGTGAGGGTTAACAGTGACCTCTGTTCATTCTGTTCTATATCTTTTGAGGGCTGATTCTAGCTGGTTTTGCAGTCGCATCCTCAGCAATGTCTTTCGAGCTCATTTGCAGTTCAGTCCTGCAGCCCCCCAGGCATCATCTACTTTAGGCACTAGTACTAAGCTAGGCTAGAGCTAAATTGCCCCCCTTTCCTAACGCCCTGACGTGATTGTAAATGTGTATGTTTGTCAGGACTGACTTTAAATTCACTATTTTTACTCACTAGACTTTTTTTTTTTTTCAGAAACTGTACCAGGAGAAACCATTTTATGCAATATATCGACTACCTGTAATTTTTCAGGTTAGTGTTTTTCTTTCTCTTTCTTGTAAAAATTATGTCCAACTATTTTCTCTTCTGAGTAACGTGACAATTTGCATTTGCTATAAAATCTAGCTCTGCAGTAAGTTTTTTTTTTTTGCTAATTTAGAGAGATTGTGTATGACTTTTTAAAAATTAAGTTAAACATGTTTTGTATTAGAAGTAATGTTCAATCAACTCTGGTTTTGATCAGTATTTCTTATCAGAGGATACAGAGTTACAGATAAGAATTACTAACCCAAGAAAAAAGAAGTTAGTATGCTATTAGCCTCTGCCATATTAAGCCTAATCCTGAACCAGGAATAGAAGTTGAAATAGGGTTTAGAAGAATCATTGTAAAAAAAACTGCGTGTATTTTAAAAGCATAATGTGGCAGGGCAGACAAACAAAGGGAAATGGAAAGGGCATTGATGTTCCCTCTATGCGTGTTAACAAAAATGTAGATAGAGATCTTGTTGATGTGTGTCGCTGACTTTCAAAATGCTTTGATAAAGGGCTCCTGTGGGAAGTTCTTCAGAAAATGAAGTCATTTCTGCCAGATAGCTGTATACTGATAATCTATACTTTACAGATTAGAAAGAGACAGAATAAATCTTTGCTTCCCAATATGAAGTGTCCCTAACAGTTGACATGGTAAACTGTGCCAGGTGCTTTGGGTCACAGAATGTATGCATTCCTAGATGGATCCTTCTCTAAAGCTCGCACTGTGTGGCTGCAAGAAGAGAAATGTCATAGAAGTTCCTTTATGTCCACCAAAGTGCCCTACCAGCTCTAAAGGGCTGTTGAATGATGCTGTGAATTACGATATCCTGAAAGTGCTTTAATCCACAAGGGGGCCAAATAATATTCAGAGTATCACTTTGCCTTTAGCTATACATTTTATTCGCATGACAGGAGTTGGAGTTGTATTGATAGCAATGCACAGTGCAACTTTTCTGTTTTGGAAAGAAAAATAACCGGGTGGGATTTAGAGATGGCTAGCAAAACTGAAAAAATCAAGCTCTTAGACTAGTTCTTTTGTGGAAAGAAATAAGTGAAGAGTGATGGAAGAATGACTGCAAAATAGTGAATGATCAGAAAAGTTAATTTCAGTGTTCTTATTTCCCTTCTCTTGTAATACAAGAGAATGAAATCTTGAATTTTCGAATAATTTCACATCATGTGATTAAGCACAAGTTTTGTTTAACTTTTTTGCCTTTTGGTTTTAGTGTTCTATGTGGGCAAGGCAAAACTTCAGGCGAGTGAAGAAAGCAGTAACACGTCACTAAATGTAGAAATAGTAAGTGGTTCTCTCTTTTAAAACTTTGTTGTAAGGAACGCAGAAATGAATTTCTTTGTCTACACTTAAAATAGTAATATAACGTGATTTTTATTATGGTTTTATTTAACTTCTAGTGCAGTTTGTTAATATTTACGGTGGATGGATCTGCTCTCTCTCTGTTAAATAGCTGTGTTGCGGCTAAAGTTTAAAGGTCCAGTTAAGTAGACTTTCTACCGTAATTGTCTGTATGTTGTGTATAACCAGTGAAAACAGGGAAGAAGCCCTGGAAATTCTGGAGAGAGGAGTCTGAACCACCTAATTAGGAATCTAAATTTAGGCATTTAGGCATATATCCTTTGGAGAGAAATTTTACTTTAGGAGTATTAGACACCTACAGTTTGGTCACAAGTTAGGTTGGATTACATTCTGGGAATAATTCATGTTGAGACTCTTGTGAACAGGGCATTACTCTAAGCAGTGGTGGCCCTAATACTTTTTAGCTAGTGGTTAATCAGTTGTCAATTTTGCAGTAGGTGTATGTGGTTTAAGAGAACAATAGGGCAAGAGGTTTAAGAGAACAACATCGTGCAAAACAAGGACAGTATAGGTTGCTCAGTATCTAGATAACACAGGATGAGAATATTTAGTTGTTACAGGTTGGAAAACTGAAAACTTGACATTAACTTGTAAAGGACCTTTTGTCTTTCTCCTACACATGCCTTTCTGCACTCAGTCTGAGATTTCACATGCCATCTCTGCAAGCCTGAGGATAGCCAAAAAGGTACAAGGTCCTTTACAAGTTAGTGTCCATTTTTTCAGTTTTCTAGTCTAGGATCCCCACTGACAGCTACCGTACAGGTGCACATTGAGCTCCGTTAACATTTTTAAGCACTGGTAAAAAGAAAATGCCTGGGGAAACTTCACGTGTTGTAAAGCTGGTCCGTATCTCCTTGTTTTATGATTCCACTGCATGCCACAATTAAGACAGAAGGACGAAGAAAGATTTTAGCTTACATTCAAAAGGTTTGAGTGGGGTTGGGCCCACTATCCCCAGGATAAGAGCTGTCTCCACATTTGTATTGTGTTTCCGAGGTGATAATGCCAACTGGTATGACCCCACTATGGTAACATTATGCCCGTAGCTATTATAAAAAGAGATTTCCTGTTTCTTGAAAGTGTTTTACTTCTTAGCACAATATTTCTCCAGTAATTCCAATATCATTTATGTCAGATGTTGTCAGGAAGATGCTTGCTGCTTGCATCAAGTGTTAAAAATACCAGTTAGTGGTGGCAACCAGAAGAACATAAGAATGCAGGCCTGAGAGGGACCTTTAGGTGGACCTTAGTATGCCCTGCTGCCCTGAGACCACACGTATTTAGGTCACTCCCACTATGTGTTTCACCTCAGTTGTTGATGTCTAACTGCTGAGATTCCATGTTTTCTGTTCGTGTGTGTATTATGTAGTTTGTTCCCATGCTGCACTGTCATAGCAGTTGGGAAGTTTGTTCAGTGTCTGGCTTAAGGTTTCTTTGTGGCAAATTAACCTACTTTCATATGGTAAAGCTGCTATCCTCTTGATGATAGTCTTTCATAGATCAGAAACTGTTAGTTGGTGTGCCCCAAATGAGCCAATTCCTTCGATAAGCTGTAACAATAGCGTCATGATAAATATCTTCTGCAGTCTGTGAGAAAGCGTGCTTCTTACCTTTGCAATTTCAGAGCTAGAGACTGTGTGATATGAATATAAGTGTCTTTTGATGCTAAGAATTACTGTTTGGTTTATCAGTGGAATCTTTGTTTCTAACAGATTAATAACATAACCGTCAACAGTCAGGTTGCAAAATTAATTCCAATTGTGGCACCTACCCTGGAAGAAATGAAGTAAGTAATTTTGAATAAGTATTGAAACCTTTGAGATACCTGAAAAAGATTAAGTAAGGCCTTCTATGTGGTTAGACTCTTCACTTTGCATTATTCCTCTACTTTATAAAGGAAAATTTTCAGGAATTTTGAAATGTTTTTCTTTAAGATGAAGTTCATATTAGTTAGAGTAGTCTCATTTTTGTTTTACATATTAGCGGAGTTTGTTTTAAAAAAAACAGTATACTTGTTGATTTCATTTAGGTCCTTCAGTTTCCTTTGGGCTCAAAGTTGCATTTGTCTGTCTTCATATCGGAGAGACCTTAGTAAGGTAGCATTTAAGCTGTGTATGCTGATGATCCAAAAAAAAAAAAAATCTGAGGACATGAGCTGTGAACTGTTGAAAAGGCCAATCTGGCTACTGCTCATCATGAGCAAGTGGTTGTCATAATTTCAGGGATTCGGTCAGTCTTTTAAGAAACTAATATGAAAACTTCTATAGCTATAGTGTTTTTATACATATTTATGGAGTCCTGTCTATATTTTTATTTTGGTGTAGCGTCTCCTTTCATGGTCTCTTTCTAAGACATGCCCTTTCCTCTTTCCAGATGCACCAAAGCTTTTGTCTGTGAGGGGTTGTCCCCAGTTGTGGTTCAACTTGCCTTTCTCTTCCTAGTATTCTTAATACTTGTACTACCTTTTGGAGAGGTTTAAGCGACTGTATGTTAACTACTATTCTCAAAACTCCCCTGAAAATCAAAAAACTGTAATTGGCCAACAGATCCTGTTTGTAGAAGAAATCCATATTTCCTGTTAATTCTCTTTCTGTAGCTTCAACTATGAGATTAGAATTCTGTTGCAAATGCTTGCTTGCCAAAAGACAATATTGCGATTTATGTTTTGCTCTTCTACATAAGTCTTAAAGAAGTGTGTTGATGTTGAAATAGATTGATATAGGATGACAGAGGTTTAAACTTACTTTGTGAAGTGACTCATAAAGATGAAAAGGTCATTTTTTAACTGTTTAATGCTTCCGGGAGTAGTTTTAAAATATTAAAACTGGCATGATTTTAAGAAAAGCACTGTTAACTGTATTTACTGATCAACTGGAAAAACGTTTACTTCTTGGTAATTGTTTATTCTTTTCTTTTTAAACATAAGTAGAAATCCTCCATAATGGTAACCTTTTATTTTAAAGAATTTCAGAGTTCAACAAAACCTTGCAAGAAGTAAGTGAGGTAAGATGACTAATTGTTGTTACTGTTTGGAAAACTTTTTTTTTTAACTTGCATCTGATAACGTCATTATCTAAGTATCAGTTCTGTTTTCTCCTGACAGAATAATTTTATTCTGTTTTCACTTGTCGTTACAGTCCTCTGTTATGGAATGCAGAGCAGATAACCAGAGGTTTGTTGTTAACTTTTAAAATGTTCATATAATAAAAAGCTCATATATTGTATTGTGATTTTTTCAAACATGAATGGCTATGTAGCAGAAAAAAAAACAAGCTATCTCAGAAATTAAGTTTGAGAAACAGGCTTGAGAAATATATGCAGGCTGACAAAGAAAAATTCTGATCCCCTGAGCCTCCTAGGACTAGTGATTCTTTTTTTTTTTTACGAAATAATATTGCTTTTCATTAAGCTTATGATGCAACACAGGCTTGCCTGCCAGATTTCTTCTGCATCTTCATATTATCTGACTCACACAGCAACTTAGCCAATAACCTGAAAGGCTGCCTTGAGACTTGGGACCACTGAACTTCCATTCCTTGTGAATCTAAGGCAATCTTTATTAGCGAATTGCTTCAAACATCTTGTGTTGCTGTTCTTCAGCTCTGGAAACTAACTCTCCTCAGGATAAGGGAAGCCTGAGGAGGTAACTAGTTCAGTCTGGAAGTCATGGGTTACCAGAATGGCAAGGCTGGTCTACAGCAGGTGATCCTGGAAACCCTGACAGCTGTTGACTGAAATTTAGATAACACCTGTCGGTTTAATTGCTACTCACCAATAAATTGCTGGTCCTGTAAACTGATCAGCTTGAAAAAACTATATTCTGAATCAAAATCTGGGACTTCGTTTCCCTAAATATTTGAACTTTGGGGTTTATTTTCCCAGTTTAAAATGAAAAAAAAGTCCCAAAACCCCAAATAGTAATGGATGGAAATTCAGTTTATGCCACTCTGTCATTCACTGGAGTTGCTCTCTCTCTGGGGTTAGGGCACGCTTTTCGTTCCTGTTAGCTGGAAAGAAGTTTTGCTTCATCTCGTTTGTGATGCGTTTTTATACACCTGTGTGTTTAAGTTTGCTGAATGTGAAGAATTCTGGCTGTACATTTGCTAGTTGAGGGAGGATTTCATATAATCTAACTATAGTTATAAAAAGTGTCGTTACATGCCTACATGGGTAAACAGCTAACATTAGTTAGGAAGGATCCCGTTTAAGAATCAGCAGTGTTTGTGGAGAGAAGAGAAAATAAGGTGCCACAAACTAAGGGATTCTCTAATGTATGCTCTTCTGCTTTGTAGTCTGCCATATTGTTTTATGTGCATTAAAAATATCCCTCAAATTGAAAAAGCCTAGGAAAAATATATGTTCACTGATTTAGCATTGACGTTGGTTCCATGCATTGTAAATACAAGGCAGATCTGTTTCTTGAGTCTAAAGCTTTTTCTTCTCATTATAGTATACATTGCAGTTTCATAATAAAGCTGGCTAAGAAAGAGAATATAAGCAGTTTAACAGACAAAACAGAAATAAGTCAAATTGGTAAGTTACGCTTTAAATACACTCTCATCACAGTTACTGTTCAGATTAAATTTCATAGTTCTACAGGTGACCTCCAAGTAACTAAAAGAAAAGACTCTTACTTATTTTAAAATAAAAACTAATTTTGGTAACATCATATACGAAGTGAAAATGCAGCATGTTGGATTTTGGTGGGGAGAGGGAGAGATAGGAATGTGCATTAATAACTTTTGATATAAAATTGCTGACTACGTTAATAAAGGAGATCTTAGAAGGATTAGCGGTGGTTTTGTTTGCTAACATATATGCATTACTGAAATGACGACCTGAATTGACAAGTTTAAAAATCGCCAAGTTTTCACCGTTGATACAGATGTAGTAGGGAGTGGTGGCTTGTACTGTTTGTTTCTGTTGCAAGTCATGTAGAATTTCATTTCAATTTGTTTACCATAAAAATAAATCTGTACTTGTCAGGCATTGAGCAAAAATGCGATGGCATTGCAGTATTTATTCTCAGTTGTTAAAATCTGTTTTGCAAACAGCTTTTCAGACAAAGCTCAAAAGTAATTTTGCAAAATGCACTATTGTTTTAAAACTGTCAAGCATGCATTTTTTAATACTATGCATAATAGCATTAGCAATTTTTATGCTTCAGGACAAACTGGGTAATGCTTCTTTGTCATCTCAGATCAGTGCTGCTGTTCATCACTGAAGTATTGTTCCTTGACTGCTGAAGAATTACGAATGTAGTGAGTATAAATAGAAAAGGCTTGACTTGCCTATTTCCTGAATTTTGTAGTGCATTAATAGTGAATTTCCATGTTGGAGCGTAATGGCTAGGAAGGACTCTCCACAACAGCAACCTCACAGACATTTTCTTGTGTAGTTGTTTCTCCCTCTCTCTCCCCCCTCCCTCTCTCTCCCCCCTCCCTCTCTCTCC